AGGCCTACGGGACTTCTTGTTCACACGGGGAGTCCCCGTTAGTTCTGACTCCTGCCTGCGAGTGTGGCGAGGGACGAGAGACTGCCGAACACCTAGTAGTGTGGTGTTTGGCCCCACCATTGGCTCGAAGATGGGAGAGGACTGGAATTCGGACACGACGGGACTTTTACTCTGCTCTACACGGCATCAATCCCACGACTGCACGGCTTGCGAGGAGGATCCTCGACTGGCTGATGGACACGGGGAAGCTGCCGATGTACAGCTTAGCCAGGAGGCTTGAGCTGGAAGCGGCGGCCTGAAGCGCCCCCGTTAGGAGGCCAGGAGGCCTCCTCTCTTTGTCTATGTAGGCTCACTAAAACGCATCGCTCCTTGATTGTTGGTACGGGTTTTTCATCCGGCCTGGGAGGGCACGGTTTTCCTGTACACTAAATAGCAGAGGGTCCGGCACGCCCTAGGGCATAGCGGAGTATGAATAATAATAATAATAGTTAATATTTCTTACCAAACTCGGAGTCGAATGGTCCAAAGTGCGGTTCAGACAGCATCTCGCCAACGAGATGGCGCACTACGCTTGCGATTTCTGGGATGCGGAACTCCTCACGAGCCACGGCTGGATCGAGTGCGTTGGTCTCGCTGACCGCAGCGCGTATGACTTGACGGTGCATGCCGAGTACACCGGTACCTCTTTAGCCGTCAAGGAGCCGCTTCCAGAACCTATAAAGCTGGAAGAGTGGCAGGCAACTCTTGATCAGAAGCGTGCTGGGCCACGTTTCAAGAAAGTTGCTAAGGCAATCCAGTCGGCCATCGAAGCTTTGGATCAAGCTGCCCTTGAACGACTGGCTTCTGAACTCGAGGAGAACGGGGCCGTGGCCATCGAGACACCACCTCTATCTGACGGGACCACGCGAGTGGAGTTAACGAAAGAGCTTTTATCGATTTTTAAAATTACTCGCTTTCAGAACACTCGCGAATACACCCCAAACGTGAATGAGCCGTCCTTTGGCATCGGGCGAATCCTCTACAGTCTGCTGGAACAAGTGTACTGGTATCGACCTGACGATGCTGCCAGAGCGGTGAGCACTAAGCACCACCGTCCTGTTGCCTCTGACTGTAGCTGATAGCGATTCTTAGGTCTTTTCCTTGCCTCTTGCCGTGGCACCCAACAAAGTTCTGATCGTCCCTCTCTATTCCAACCCCCAACTCAATCCCATCACTCACAAGCTCTCCGCCCGGCTGCGCAAGATGGGCATCACAAACATCATCGATGCGTCGAGCGCATCCATCGGCAAGCGATGTGCCCGAAACGATGAACTGGGAATCCCGCTGGGTGTAACAGTTGACTTTCAAACGCTGAGAGACGGGTCAGTGACCTTGCGGGAGCGGGATTCCATGTTTCAAGTCAGAGGGTCGGAGGAAGATGTTGTAGCGGCTATCAAGGGGTTGGTGGAGGGGACCGAGGGGTGGGACCAAGTCATGCGAAAGATGCTGCCATTCCGTGGACAGGAAGAAGATAAGTACAGCACTAAATAACACAGCTTTCTAGTTCATCATTGTGCCTCCTGAAAAAAAAAAAAAAAGGAAAAGAAAAGACACATAGTAGGTAGGTAGTTTTACCGAGAACGCCCCTCTGAGCGAGAACCCAACCCTCCAACAAGCTATCCGACACCGAGAATCTACCACTCGCTCCCAGACCGACCCCAACGGAGCATCCGCGTTTTGCTCAGCGGTTGACCCCTGCAGCCAGTCTTTCTCTCACTCGAGACCCAACTCCTACCGAGAATATGTACGCAGGTCCGCCAGCTCGTGGGTCGCCGCGACGAGCTGCGTCGGCTTACTCCTTTTTGTCGTCCGATGTGAAATCCGCTAAGCACAGTCCTTCGATTTTGTCTTTGATACACACGCTGAGATGTCTGGGAAGATCGGCAAGCGCCTTCCTTGTAGTGCTCCCAACACCAGGCTGAATGACATTGTCATCGCTTCGTTCTCTCTGGAGGCACTGGTGTTCCTCCCAAGTGGACTCGGATGTTCTAGCGTGAGCAGGCAACCCTCTCCTCGCACTTCTGCTAACTGCAGTGTGCCAAGTTGGCGATTTCATGTCTTTTATTTTTTCTACCACCTCCACAACACAGACGCCCCCCCCGAATGGTGACTTGGGACCATGTCCCACGAGATCGAGGTCGTGCATATTTTTGGTCAAGGCACCGAGTTGGATGGCGCTGCATTCAAAGCTGCAGCCCTCACGACCCTCGGCATAGTCTTTTTGGAGGTTCTGGAGCGCGGCGGCAATCGCATCGAGGGATTCTTTGCGGCGTTGATTGATACGGTCTATACGTTAGCTTAACCGTTGCTGTCAAAACTTTGTAAGTCAAAGCGAAAACCTACCGATAATAGGTGGTGGTATTGGAAGACCTTGTGCCATTATATCCCCTTTTCCCCACAAGATAGCAGCCTTGGTGGTCTGCCGAAACGTTTCGCCGTCTTTAAAAACCCATGAGATCATGATCCATAAAATATCTTCGGGGGAAAACGAAACGCTAGGGGCCATAAACTTGAGTGTTCGGGTCCACAGAAACGCCATGGGTTCGAACGCTTCGTGGATCTTATAATAATCAACGATGGCCCCTATCCTAACCAGCGTTTCCAGTGTGTTCGGTATGGCGTTCTTGTAATAGACCTGGCGATATCGGCCATGAAGGACGTTCATGACAGTCCTGAAAGCCTCGGTATCCCATCCCTCGGCACGGATGTTATACTGGCCATCCTTCTTGTCCCCTTCGCTCCAGCCACCAGTTAGCATTGCCTTGAATACAGGCGAGGCCAATACGAGGTGGCGCGATGAGACCAGGAAAGTCACCGACGCGTGCGACGGTGCTATTCCAAACCAAAGATTCGGTTTACAGAAAGGGATCGGGGCGTTGGGGTTTGTCAAGGTGAGAATGACATCACCTTGAGGGTCAATGTTGTAATCGCACATTCTGGCCTAAGTGGTAAAGGTCTAGTCGGGAAAATAAGAACGGGTAACGTGGGTAGCAGAGGTCGAAAAAATGCGACTCGGATCTGATGAGGGGCAGACCTGGAGAGGGTTGGGGAGGTAAGTACAGTGCGGGTCCAAAAGTCTGAATCCAAACCCCACCCAATTAAAGCACGCGACGCGACCGCGTTGACTACCATCATCTTCAACCTGCCACCACTCCTCGCCATGACGCTCAATTTAGCTGATTTCGCAGCCAAAATGGCCGCCAGGAGGCAGCCGAACCAGGAGTTATTGCCAGAGCTCCGTGCAGCCATTTGTACGCTCATTTCCACCGGCCGGACCCAGCGCGAGGTCGGGGAGCTCTTTCGCGTGTCGAAGACGGCCGTTGTGAGAGACGAGGGACATTTAGGCGAGGCGCGAGGGCACTGCCGATGAGACTCTATTCCGCTAATCACAAGATGGGGAGAAAAGGAAGAGAAGCTGGAAGAGCTCTCGCGATACAGGAGTTAAATGCCAGCGCGTGTGGCCACGTGCCCAACCAAGTGGAGCCACAGTGCACTCCGACGGCAGCTGCCGTCACAGCCGTCCAAGGTGCGGTTCAGCAGTTCAAAACTCACGAATCTTTCCGTCCCAGACCTCGTAGCGGGCGGCCCGAGGTACTTGCACGGAGAGAGAAGCGGTATATTCTAAGTCTCATCAAAAGGAACAGGAAGCTTGCTAAAAAGGCACTCCTGCATGTCACAGGAACGCCTGTCTCGTACTCGACAATACGCCGCTGTCTCCGCCACCACAACATGCGCAAATGGAGAGCAATGAAGCGAATTCCTTTGACAAAAGAAGTGGCAAAGGATAGGTACAATTTTGTCTGCGACCAGCTCGACAATCTCGAAGAGTAGGGTTCCTCTTTACTAGGAGGGTCCCCGAGGTAGTAACGCCGGTATGCCGCTGCGGTATGGCGCGCGAGACATTCGAACACCTCGTACTCGAATGCAACGGAGCCGCAGATAAACCTCATCCCTGGGCCAGACGACGGCGCAGAGCTACTGGAGTGGCTAGATGACGTGGAGAAGGCTGCCATAGTGGTGGGGTGGGTGCTTGGGCTGGGGAGGCTGAACGAGTTCCGGCTGGCGGTGGAGCTGGAAAATGAGAACAACGAAGAGGCCCGCGGCGGGGCCGAAGCGGAGTAGCAGAAGGGCATCGATGGAACAGAGGTTACGACTCATTTTATCTATTTCGTTACTTTGACCTCGGAAGGTGGGTGAGCCCTTTCGAGGAGATGGATCCACGGGGTAGCGGCAAGGCCGCAACGAAGGTGCGGAGGTTTTCATCCAGCTTAGGCATGGTTTTTCCTACCGAGTTAATTGCTGAGGGACCGCATGTGCTTAGTACCTAGCGTGATAAGAGAAATAATAATAATAATAATAATCTCGAAGAGTTCCTCCAGATTTGTTGCTCAAAGTCTTACCCTGTTTTTGCCATCTCTAACGGTAACAGACTATGTTCTCAGACGAGTGTTCATGCCAAAACAACACCTCAAATCCGACTGCCTGGGTATTCCGTTTCCCTTCTGAGAAGTTCGACCCTCAATTTGTCAACCTCCGGAACCATGTGAAGGCGAATATCACTGTCATGGTCTGGGGAATGATCTGGAGGGGTGGGAAGAGCGACCTTATTGTAATAGTTTGTGACAAGACTTCAAAAAGGCAAGGATATACAGCCAAATCCTACCAAGATGCTCTCGAGAAGGGCCTTCTTCTCAAGGCTCTGCAGGGCGACGGTCAAGCTCGTGAGAGAAAGGGCAGCGAAGGCGACGAGGTGATTAGTCTGATTCAAGGGGCAAGCTGGGATCTCCTTGATGGGTATGAGTTTCTCCTCGACTCTCTCGAAGAGGCGAAGAAGAGAGTCGAACAGCTTGGTGATGACGGCAAGCACGTCGCCGTCAACCTCAACAACGTGTGGATAAAGCTGAACAAGTACTACGAGAAGATCGGCGAGTCCCCCCTTATCTATGCCGCTGCCGCGCTACACCCCAAATACCGATGGGATAGATTCGAGGCGTGGCGCGACCACCATCCTGGCTGGATCGAGCCGGCGAAGCAACAAGTTCGAGACCTCTGGATACAACAATATCGAGACTTACCAGCCGCGGTAGACGAGCCTTCAGAACCGCCTCTGAAGGTCCCGCGCCTCTCGACCAACAGGTTTGCGGCTTTTAGAAGCCAGAAGCGAGGATTGGAAAGCTCGGCATGCTCCTCTCCATCACACTCGCCGTCGCCAGCGCCGGTTGAGCTTGACGAGTTTGAGCGTTGGCAGTTGGAGACGGCCGACCCTGATGAGCAGGTAGAGGATCCTCGCGTTTACTGGCACAAGAGGAGGAAGACTTATCCGCGGCTTTCGCGTATGGTGTTGGATCTACATACAATACTCCCCATGAGCGCGGAAGTTGGGCGCTTGTTCAGTATTACTGGCCACATGGTTATCCCTCTGCGAAACCGGCTGCAAGCGAACACCATATCTCTCTGCCAGATCCTCCGAAGTTGGTACGACGCCGGCGTGGTTCGCGATCTCGATCCAATACTGGCATGGAAGGCAGACGAAAACATGGAAGTGGATGACTGTATTTAGAAAATCTTGGCAGTGCAATATATTTCAATCCATTTCCATCTCTGCCTTCGATGGATCAATTCAATGCAGCCCTGGATTATGTAAGGTGCAATTACACTGCAATGTCGTTACGGGGAGATGGGAGGAAATGGATTGATTCCGGACCCTGTTGGGGACGGCACCCTGACTTCTAGCCGGCCCGGAGATCCTTGGGGCGTTCTCAGGTCCGCGTTCTGGGTCCTTTCCACTCCAAGTATTGACTATAATCTCTGGTTCCAGCTCCGAATCGATTTCAGGCCTGGATTCGAGATCATCCAGCTGTTCTGGTTCTATCTCCCATTGCGACATGTTGAATAACGTGGTTATGCATGGTTTGTGTAAGGTTGCTTGCAGTGATCAGAGCTTCCAGATGGTGGGAGGCTCTGTTTCTATATACAGAGAGAGAGATGGGGCTGCAGGGCTCCCTGTTAGCCACCAGGCTCCCTGACAGCCACCATCATGACTTGTGACCCCTGTATCCATTTCAGTACGACAGGCGCCGTCTCACACTCGGATTGAGTCTTCCAGTTGATGCGTGGCCTCGAGCCGCTCTTGGGTTGCGGGCGCGCCGACTGCCTCTCCGACTTCGTTGGGACTGTCGGTTACCTCTCTGTGAGGCTGGAGGTCGAAGGCTGACTTGGCCGGGGAGGAAGAGTTCTCTGGTGACTGGTATGGGCTCATTTTTGGGACGCCCACGTCGCCGTTCAGCTGGATTGGGGTCCCTGATTCGAATATATCTCTCTTGACAATCGATCCTCGAATCAAGGAGCCAGCGTGGATCAAGATCCTGCAAAGTAAGAGGCTCCTTATCCTTCAATCGCTGGTGAATAGTATGCCGGCAAGGCAGACGAAACTGTAGCTGTATTGTACAGGAATCATCGCAGACTGGGACTTCTTCGGATCCTATATCGAGGGCATTGTTCAATGCCTTCTGCGCGTGCCGTTTCTCGCGAGTAATATGCTCTGGAGCTTTGAGAGAGACGGCTCAAGGGAGATCACCTAGGTAATCTTGGTGTAAGTAGTCCATATTAATCCTCGTTATCTGCTTTGCCACCTCTTGATTGTAGTTGCGGAGCTGACTCTGGCACATTTCTTTGAGAGCTTTTGTCAAGCGTAAGAAATCGCTTTTGACGGTTAGCAGATAACTCTTGATGTTGAAGTTAGAGGACTCAGTCTGAGACGTGACCGATTGGGAGAAGTTCAGGTACCTCCGAGTACAGTATTCCGCCCATTGTTCTCTCAGAGGGAGCCATTCAGCCTGGAGATACTGCAGGATCTCCTCCTGGTCGGAGAACTCCGCAATAAGCCATGTCCAGATCCTCACAAATTCCTCCTTAGTCTTGGCGCGTACCAGGATCTTCCAGATGGTAAGAACGCCCTCAGCATCGTAGGTGATCTTGGTCCGGGATCCAGGACGATCTTCAAAGGGTTCTTCTGTTGTAACTAATTATCCCATTGTACTCGTCAATGGTTGCTTGGTCTAATCTGGGTAAATCTTTGGCGAGTCCTCGGGTACCCCGGTCAAGGCGCGCTTTCAGGACGTTCTCAACGAGATGGTCTGCTCGCAGGTAATCTCCTATTAAAGCCGGCCAAAAAGGCATAGTTTAGTAAATCCATCCATGGGCAGCGTTTAGGGATGCTCGCCTTTGATCGGGTCCTTGCACATCCAGTCCGTCAACTTGTCAACATGCCCGCTTGTCTTCAGCACAAGCTCGGGTGTGATGACAGTGCAATCCAATTCCAGCATGTTCTCCTCAAGAACGAAGTGCTTCCTCCACATGTCCACGATATTGGTTTGCAGGGCGCATCCTGGGGTGGCATAGTCAAAGAGCCCACGGTTGTCACCTTTGAAGTTTGGAGACAACCGGTAGATCTCAAATGCCTCAGTGAAGAAGAAGCGACGCTTGAGGACGGACTCGAAAAGCTGCCGGTCAAACTTCTTGCCTGTGAAGGTGGTTGTTGTCGAAGCCATCATTGTTTGATTTGGGCGGAGCGGGAATTAGGGAACAAAGAGGGGAACAAAGGCAGCCAGAACAGCGGCCCTGGTTTAAGGTTAATTAATGCATTGTGCTACATTTAACGACCATCCTGATTGGGTAGTCGGTGCACCACACCGGCATTGTTCGATCCAGAGTATATAAGAAACAATGTCGAACAAGCAAGCTATACGTGAACCCTTCAGTCTCTCAAAGTGTTTCAGACAGGGCCCTCAGCGACCCTCAGTTCCGTCTTTTTTCCAGTAAACCGGCTACCAATCTACCATATCCGCCATCATGATTTCACCTCGGCTCCCCTCACCGGAGGCTCTGGATATCATGCGCCAAATTGCGTATGTCGAAGCCTTCCTCAGCGTCGCCAAACAGCACGAAATACTCCCACTCCGGCGCCAGCTTGAAACTCTGACAGCCCGAAAGAATTCATGTCATTGAGATAAATAAGATAAACGACTTAATGCCCTTGAGGTTTGAATTTACCAACCTAGAGCAACCTGTGTAAGAGGGTTATTGCTCTTTGGGAAATAATGGTACATTAAGAGGGATAATTTATGTTGGATCAGCTTCGTTGTTTGACGCAATAAGCAAGATTACCTAAACAGTGAGAGTTCCGATAGTTAGTTAGTTAGTTACGGCCAACGGAAACAAGTTCAGACTTGAACGATGACCGCGTGAGATATTTCGGGTATTCCACCGGCGCTACGATTCAAACACACACACATATATATACGCATTAATTATTATTATTATTATTCATACTCCGCTATGCCCTAGGGCGTGCCGGACCCTCTGCTATTTAGTGTACAGGAAAACCGTGCCCTCCCGGGCCGGGTGAAAAACCCATACCAACAATCAAGGAGCGATGCGTTTTAGTGAGCCCACATATACAAAGAGAGGAGGCCCCCTGGCCTCCGAACGGGGGCGCTTCAGGCCGCCGCTTCCAGCTCGAGCCTCCTGGCTAAGTTGTACATCGGCAGCTTCCCCGAGTCCATCAGCCAGTCGAGAACTCTCCTCGCGAGCCGTGCAGTCGTGGGATTAATGCCGTGTAGAACAGAGTAAAAGTCCCGTCGTGTCCGAATTCCAGTTCTCTCCCATCTTCTAGTCAACGGTGGGGCCAAACACCACACTACCAGGTGTTCGGCAGTCTCTCGTCCCTCGCCACACTCGCAGGCAGGAGTCAGAACCTCCGGGACTCCCCGTGTAAACAAGAAGTCCCGTAAGCCTATCGCTCCCGTCCGGATTTGAATCAGCAGTGAGCTCTTTGCCTTGCTGAGACCGTCGTGCCTCCTTAGGGTTTCGTTCCGGAATAGCGTCTCCTGCTGATGGTCAAAGTCGTCCGCCGGCCTGGTGATTGCCCTGCCGTCCCGTTCCTTTAACCACCTGGCTTTCCAAGCCTACGCATTAATTAGTTAGTAATTTGAAACTAAGATGCAAGCCACGTAATGGATAAGCTATTCATACATAGTTACGGACTCAGTATTGATGTAGATACCTATCCACGTATTCCCTCTTGGGGTGCCGGGATGATTAGTCCTATAAACCCACATAACTACTGTGTTCTCCATGCCATTCTAAACCGGTGCCCTGGTGCCCACATGCATCTCCATGCAGTTATCTAAATTTAGGTCCGCACCGGAAATTGACTATCCCATCCGTTCTAGCGACAGTATTGGCCCCATGCCGTTCTTCTTTATACAGGAATACCCTGTAAACTCAGCTGGTCCTACGTCCGTACCTTACCTATTTAGGCATGTCATAACCGAGACAACTCACAGGTTTAGCCGGAGGTAGAAGCTTAACAGCAAAAACACCGAAATGTGAGTGAATAGAAAGATATGGGAAAGCTGTCTTTGATTTCTCATTGAAGGGGGCATTTGCCTTGCCCTCTTCACTGTTTCACTGGCACCCGACAGCTAATGCCACCCTCTCACGAACACCAGGCCCCTTAAAACTCAACCTTTGCCTTGACAGCAGTAACGAAGTCCTCTACATCCTGCCAAAACACCTCGGGCAGCTCAAAGGCCGCAAAGTGGCCACCCTATCCCAAGTTAGCCCAGAACTCGAGATACTTCACACAAAAGCTGACGTACCTTGTCATGAGCCCGGAAGAAAACCAGATTCTCCGGGAACCAGTGCTCCAGCCACGACTTCGCCACCGTCAACACCTCCGCCGGGAACGACGAATACCCGATGGGCTTGTTGGTGATCGCCAGAGGGGAAGGAATCCTGTCCTTCACGTCGCGCAGCAGCGCCTCCCAGCCGTTGCGGTACGCCCACATCGAGCGGCCGAAGGACTTCGTGTACCAGTACCAGGATACCTGCTGGAGGATTACGTTGAGTGGGGTGTTGGTGCCTTCGGCGTACATAGCACCGATCCTGTTGCGACGTTAGTTGGAGATGACATCAAACGACAAGGGCTGTTGGGGGGCAAACCCACCATCCCAGCATGGCGAGCGGGTTTGACATCAGCACCAGCGAAATCGTGCTAGGCTTGGTCCCCTGCTCCAGCATGTAGCCGGTACCCGAGTAGAGATAACTCGCGGCGAGCGCGAGTGACTGCTCCTCCTCGGGGGTGACGGGCAGGTCTGCGACGACTGCCCGTTCCGAGGCCGTGAGAAGGAAGTTGTTGACTGCGGTATGTCAGTATCGTGAGGGATCCCTAGAGTAGTAATTAGAGGGGAAGGGTGCCGGCTTACAGTGAACAGCCTTGCACTCGTCGTGCGTGGCGATCGCGGCCGTGATGCCCGATCCCACGTCCCCGCCCTGCGCAATGTACGCGTCAAAGCCCAGCGCCTTCATCAGCTCGTTGAGCGCCTCGCCGGCCTTGGCGAAATCCAGTTCCGTCTCCGTTAGCCCGCTGCGGGTGGAGAGTCCATAGTCCGGGATGGACGGCGTGATGACGTGGTACGGTAGTGTCTCGGGGGTGTACTTTTCGGCGAGCAGCTCAAAGATGGGGATGAAGTCCAGCCAGGAGCTTGGCCAGCCGTGGGAGAGAATGATGGGGATGGCATCTGACTTGCTGGAGAACAAGCCGGCGAAATGCAGGTTGAACACCTGACCGTCCGAGGGTGCCGTCACGTTGATGGTGAACTGGGGGAACGTGTTCCAGTACTTCTCGTGGGTGCGCCAGTCGAAGTCGTTGGTCCAGACATTGGCGGCGTGGGCAAACCACTCCCTCGAGGCGCCGAAGGCATACTCGGCCCCGTCTGTGAAGTTGTGCGTGTTGTAAAACGAAGGCTCCGGGATGACGGAATGCTTGACGAGGGTGGTGAGCTGGTTGATGTCCTTGTTCGGAATATGGAGGCTAAAGGGGACCGGGGTGCCCGGGATGCCGGCCGGCACGAGCCCGAAGCCAGCGTTGACCATTGTTGGTGCTGTTTGGTGCTGTGGTATGTCACCGTGAGAGTATATTGGAGCGGGAGATGCTGTCAGGTCGGCCGCCAAAATCCATGGTCTCTGGGGGACGATGAGGCTTTTATAATTGCAGCAATACAGCACTCAAAAGTGAGACCCCCCTAACCTGTACTGTTTACGTCTGCCCGTAAAGGGCAATGTCTGGCGCTTCACACAATGCAGGGGTGGATTTGTCAGGGAGGATTAACAATGCATCCACTTCTGCTGACGCCAAGGACTGAGGTCCCGCGAAATCAAGGCGGTCTACCCCTAATAAGGCTAGTTTCTGGAGCAAGTTGGCGGGGACAGAACCAACGTTGATCTTGGACCTTTATATAGGAAATTACCCATGAGTCAATGACTCGATCCGAATCACCCGGTCCATTGAATAACGACATTGAAGATGCCTATGTGTAACAGCAGCTGGAAAGCTGGTTGCCGAGGTTTGAATCGGCTAAGGCACCTTGGTAATCAACGGAGCAATCGAGACGTTTCCTTTCAACACAATCATTAACTAACTTGATTTGTTGATCAATAACTGGAAGTCGTTAACTCGCCGGGCACCCGCGGATTACCGACCACCCACACTTGAAAGCACGTGGGATTTCCCATGTTAATGATGTGGCCAACGTAGCAGTTGGGTTGACCGGAAACCAGTATCGTATCAGTAATCGACACACACTAAAGCAATCCAAACTCCTCGTATCCTTGTTCAACACGTGTGCCGCGTGCATATTCTCGTTTTCCCATTGGGGATGGCCGACGACTGGAGATATCAATACCGCGGATAATGTAGTAAAAGGGAAAGCTCAGGTATCAGACCAAATCCCATTGTATTTGTCTCTAAACTATCCTCCTAAGCAATGCCTGCACCGCGATAACCTCATTCCCGAGTTACTCCCCTGCCCGCCGTCAGCCCTGTTCCAGACGCGAAGGGGAAAACAACGGAATCCACGACGACATTCCACCCGCCCCCTATTTACCCCTGTTCCCGGTTTGTCCCAGAACAGTGCCAAGATTCTACGCCTTCTTGATCTCCTTGGTCGGCACAAACGCCCTGCGCTTCTTGGTAGCCTTGCTGTCCTTGACGGGCACCTTGATCATAATCCGATCCCCGTCCAGCGCCTCACAGATCTTATCGAAGTCGTCCGCCTCCACGAACGCGACCTGGACGGGGCCGGGGTTGGCCTTGCCGGACGCCGCCTCCAGGTAGGAGAGCGAGGTGTCCATGGTGGTGAGCTTGGGCTCGGTGCCGCCGAGGAGGGCGATCAGCTTGGCCTTGACGGCCGGCGGCGACTTGTCAAACACCACCGGGTAGGAGCGGTCCTTGTCCGCCTGGGGGGACCATTTCTTCCAGTGCGCCTCCATCCAGGTGTCCTTCTTCTGCTGCTGGCTGTCGGCGTCCCCGTTTTCCGATGAACTGGATGCCCGCTTGACTGGGGCGGGGGGACCGGAAGCCGACTTGGCTCCGCCGGTGGCGGAGGGGGCCGCGGTTCCATGGCTGTCGGATGCCGCGGAAGTCGAGCCTAATTTTGTAGAGCTAGTAGAGGCCGTGGTGGGGGTAGGCTTGGTGGTATTACCAGGAGAAGTCGAAGTTGCAGTTGATTTGGCGGGAGTGGAAGTCGCAGTAGATTTGGCAGGGGGAGAAGGACCTGGAACTGTCTTAGCGGAAGTGGTAGGGGCCGCGGTCGACTTTGTGACTTTTGGCTTCGTGGGCCCTGGTTTGACGGTATTGGAGGGAGTCGCAGGAGTGTCGGAGGTGGGAGCAGGCTGCTTCTTGCGGGGTGCGTCGGCCATGATGAAATACTGAAGAAGTGGGGGCTCGGCGTGGAATGTGTATATATTCACGGGAGGTGAGTGGGTATAAAACAGGCAGCTTTGAAACAGCAATATACGGTAGTCGGTTGAGGTCACGGTAATGTACGAAGTAATTGATGCCGGCACTTGGTTAACTGATACGGCTCTTGCAGCAAAGATGGACAGCTGAATTGGAAGAGGATGCCTTTTGCTCTTATACCCTCCTGAGAACCGCAGACGGGAGACACTCATCGCGTTCCACTCGTCGTCTCACAGTTGTAAGCTTGCGGTTACAGTCCGACTTGAAGCACTTCCGTCAGCCGGCGCCACATTGTTGAAACTAGTGCGGCCGCGCCACCGAAAACATGGTATGAATCCTAACAGTTTTTACGAGGAGTCAGCATACGAATAGCCCTATCACGAATCAGTCTCTGATGGGGCAGACATAAACAATCTTAAAATCCTTGGTCTCCAATCTCTAGCAACACTAGAAAAATGATCATGTAATCCTAATAATAATGACTGACGGGGATGTAGCTATGTGCGACAAACCCCAGGGCCGTCCCGATGCGCGCACGCGGGTGACACGGCACCACCGTTGTTTTTGGACGGGCTGATAAGGAGAAAACAAACAGAAGAATACCTCGCAATAGCAGTCGCCTACCACATACACAAGCCTCATATTTATATATTGTAGTAGACCTAACTTTGCTATACACCCTGCGCGTCGAGATGTCGATAAATAAGGCTTAGAAATGATGTCGATCCTTGTTTTTACCAAGAAACTTTGTCAGAAAAGGAGGTGACTCCATCGATATCTCAGCGCATGACCAATCGGCGAATAGAACTAGGTATCACACATTTAGATCTACGACAATGTATAACTCGGAATCTCGTGCATGCAGTAGGGCAACTGACATGCCTATTTCTCTTTTCTTGGCCCTCTTCTCCTTTCCGGCCAGCCCAAAAACAACAAAAGTGGTGTGCCACCGGGCATATGCCCACCCGCCGCGCGGTAGGATTCACGACCCTGGCGTTTGCGACCGCCCGCTCTGTCCTCCCGATTTCGACTCCATCCTGGTCCGAACTTGGCGTCCGTATCGGGTAGTTGGATTAGGACCCCTGGACCCGCCACACTGCCACACAGAGTGAGGAGACGCCGTAACATGCTACATTACCATCATCCTGTCCCTCTATTAACACGTGCGGTCTCTCACCATCAAGGTAGGCTGGGGCAAGTGGCCGCTTAGAAGCACTAAAAAGTGCCCGGGCTTTGTCCTTGACGTCGCGGATTATTTTGAGATGAGATGAATTGCCTGGCCGGCGTAGGTGAGCACGATGGCCCAGGGCCGCATGTTTGACAAATGTCGGCTGCCATCTAGTTGGGATACCGGTTACTGTGTTTATTGTGGGCTCAGTACGAGACGTGACCACCAGGTGGCCTCCTTGTCCAAAGACATGAGGAGGTTTCCCGAGGAGCCACTAGTATAAAGGTCCGATCCGTCCCACGACTGACGGAGAAGGACAGCGGGACAAGAGGAACTGGATCACCATACCTTCACAACAGTTATCATCACGTCATTTCCCACTCAATACCTATATCACCTCTCCTCGCCTGAACACTGGTTGTTGCAGGCATCTCAGCTCTCCCCTGACATCCGATCCTTGCCCTTAAATCACTACAAGCCCCAAGCTTAGATCTTCACCAATCTCGTCATCAAGCACTAGCCTTTTGAACACATCTTTTTTTTTTTTTTTTTTTTTGGATTCTTGCAATTGCTTACCTCTACCTGCTTAGGTAGTCATGAGTTCAAGAACTACGGCAACAGGAGGGACATCCTCGAGCAATAGACGGGCACCGCCCACAACAACCCCCGCCAACGTCGCTAGCGGCAGAGCCACGCCTGCGACGCAGCCAACTCGAAGGCCGCGATCTTCGTCAAACGCAGCCGCATCGTCGTCATCTGTGGCTGTAAATGGACCGAAGCCCCTCTTTGGAGTCGAGATCGAGATCTTTGTCAAGCTCCGCCCCGAACTCGAGAGGGCTATCTATACCCGACGTCAACGAGGAGAACAGCTGGACGAGGAGTATTGGCGGAATTGGAACTTTGCGCTCAGTAACGAAAAGGGCAACCAGCCACTGAAGGATAAGCAACGAGAATGCGTTGGCCAGGCCATCGAAGCGTTAATCGAGGGTGCCCTAGGTCCTAACCACCACTGGAAGTGCGAGCCCGACGCGAGTCTAAAGGAGTGGGCGTTGACAGAGCCCCCGGAGCCTCGCAAGTGGTGTATGTTCATACTCGCCACATCCCTTATTTTGTATGGCTCACGGACTAATTGCAACCACCATAGGGGGAATTGAGATTATCTCTCCGCCCATGTCAGCGGCGCGGCAGTGGCGACAAGAGATTCACGAAGTCTTCGCGGCCGTGGCCGAGGAGTTTGAGCTCTGGACCAGCACCTTCTGCGCTTGCCATGTCCATGTCTCGCCCGGCCCCCTCAAGTCGAGCAAGTACAACTTTGATCAGCTCGTCCAGATTGCTTGTGCCAGCCACTTCTGGGAAGAAGCGCTCAAGACTATCCTCCCAGAAGAGCGCAAGATCAACAGATACGCGCAGCCGAATGCCACCGTATTCGCAAATGCAGAGTATAATACTGTTTCGCGCTACACCTGGGCCCCCGTCTTCCAGGCAGTCAAATCCGCAGCGGGAACGGCTCAAAAGTTTGCAGCACGATATCCCTCGGAGGATAGAACCAAGTATGCGTACGCTATGTTTGCCTGTCTGATGGCAGGGGCGAAGGTCACAGACCCGGATCCATCCGACACTGCTGAAAGATATTTGTCGAGCAACTTTCTGCCGCTACCCGAGTTGGGTACCGTTGAACTTCGTCGCCAGGCTGGAGTTGCCTCGGCCCATAGCACCATCCAACGGGCCCTTCTTGCCCTCACCCTGCATGTCAGCGCCCTTCAATACGACTTTGTAGCGGCAGCTTCGCGGAGGGACCATCCCACTCAGGCGGAGCTCAAAACCGAGCTTTCTCTAGCTATCAAAAGACTGCCCGCGTCATGCCGTGGCGACCGCTTCCTGAAATGGTTCGATGATTGCGCGAAAGACTACGCAGCCAACCAGAGGCCTTCACCGAGAAGG